GGTGGTGGATTGGGGTGTTTGGCTGCAATTTTAGCCGATGAAGTTCACGGTAGAATTAGCAGTGCCATTGCTGTTAGCACTTCTGTATTTATCTTTGGTAAGAAAAAAGCTCTTGTTTAGCTTTTGTTTGTTCTCTCAAACTTACTGCATTAATATATATTTTTTCCCTCCCAAAACAAATTTATTTGCTGACAAAACAGTACATATATTTCACTGCATAGCAACAAAGTAACTAATTATTTGACATGATGTGGTACCTTCTGCCTTTTTGTTTAGCTTATGCTGGTAAATCGTCGATCTTACCTTTTTTTTTTTTAATAAATAAGATATACAACAAAATTCAAAACACGCCCAAGAGACCATATAGAAAAAAACATTACTCTGATCATCTATTATTTTCATGGATAGCTGCTGCTGCAACGTACTCTCGATTGGTGCCAAGCATTAAGAGAAGATATGACTATGGAGCCATGATCTTCATCCTTACCTTCAACTGGTGGTGGTATCTGGTGTTCGTGCTGATGAAGTGATGAAATTAGCCCGTGATCGTCTTTCCACAATTGGTATGGGTTTTGCTGTATGCATATTCACCAGCTTACTCGTCTTCCCAATGTGGGCTAGCGATGAACTTCACCATTCTGCAGCTACTAAGTTTGAAAAACTTGCTTGCTGTATTGAAGGTACACCCCATATCTATATACAGAAAGCCCAAATCTCCAATGCTCTAGCTTTAGTTTATACCGCAAACATTTTTCATAGATAATAAATTTTAGGCTAATCAACAAAAACTTAGGTCCTGATTGATTTGTATTTCAGAAACTGTTTTCTATTTTCAAAATTAGTTTCTGAGAGAAAAACTGTTAGGTCAGTTACTTTTTGTTTTTGTTTTTTAAAAATTGAGGACAAAAATTAGATAGATTTAGAAAACAAATTAGAAATTGATTGTGTGTTTTTTTAAATAATTTTTCCAGAATTTAGAAAACATCACCACCTCCACCATGAACATTCCACCACCACACTTCCACCACCATGTCCACCACACTCCCACCACCACAATTCCATCAACACTACCACCATACTTTTACCACCACCACGACGTCTACACTTTTACTATTACAACATTTCTGTTTTAATTATTTCTAGGTTACAGCCCAAATAAGTTTTATTATTTTCTATACCGTAAACCTGCTTTTGGAATCAAATAACCAAATAAATTTTACAGAACAAAAAACACTCAAAATAATTTTCAGATACTATTTTTTGAGACGCAAACCAAACAAGACCTAATTTACCCCTTTTTATGTTGTGAAGTTGGCTTTACCAATAATAAAAATCATAATCCCACCTTCTTTACCTATTGATTTAAGCCATTTTATCAAACTGCTGAAATTCTCATGTGATTGATGTGTAGGATGCTTGGAGCAGTACTTCCAAACAGTGGATGAAAAGGGAAAAACAGTTGATTTCACCACCTGCATGACAGTTTTACACTCAAAGTCCAATGACCAGTCACTGGTATATTTCTTTTCTTGTATAGCTATTTTGTTGGACAAAGTAAGTTATATTAAGCTAAGTTAAACAATTAGCGCGACATAACCTTTGATATTATCTGTACAAAGTAGATACCATCAAGTTTGAACCCACGATTTCAAAGTTATTGGGCCGAATTTTAATTGTGGGACCTAAAGCCCAGACTTTATTGGCCTTGTGGTTGGGCCAGCATCGATTTTTTCGGCAAAATGGATCATTAATAGCAGATGTATTTAGCATTTTCCTCAAGTAAAGAGCAGTGCTATACAAACTTAAAAAATTGACTTTAAAACTTGACTTGATAAATCACTATCATTGAATAGATAATAAGTTTTAATAAATAATAGGATCCACAGTTAAATCAATGACAAATATAACGAGAATCTAACTTTGTGTATCAGGCAAACTTTGCAAGATGGGAGCCATGGCATGGAAAATTTGGATTCTCTTACCCTTGGGAGAAATACCTAGAGATTGGAGAGGATCTTAGAGAGCTTGCTGTAACCATTTTTTCAATGAAAGGATGTCTTCAATCACCTACACAGGTATCGAATATTCATTCGTGTTCATGATTTTTCACTAAACTAATCAGTAATAAATACGATAAATGTCAATTTTTTCTTACAACATGTCATAAGCTAGATGGTTAATTTGGTATGATCAAATTTTTATCATCAGGCCACATCAACACTAAAACAGTCGATCAAAGAACCGTGTGAATTGGTAGGGTTGTCACTTGCATGGACTTTGAGAGAGCTTGGAGAGAGCATCACAATAATGAAAAAGTGCAGGGCCAAGGTGTTGATATTCCCAAAATTGCAGCCCATGAAACTAGAGCTGAGTCGAGTCCCATTTCCTTCCAAGGTAGGAGAAGCATCAGAGAATGGTGAAGGGGTTGCCATTGCAAGCTTTCTGTTCCAGTTGATGGAGATGGTAGAAAAGATTGAGGTATTAGCACAAAAGGTGGAAGAACTAGGTGAACTTGCTGGTTTTGAAACTAAATAAACAGATAGCCATTAATTTTAACATATGATCATATGGTGTTGTATGTGATCACTAAAGCCATTTTTTTGGCACATAACATGTATGTATAAGAAGAATGGTATAAAAGAAAAGAAAAAGAAAGATCCTTAAATGTGGGAAAATGTACGATTGAAAATGAGACATTTGTATTTTTGTGGAACTTGTAAAAGGTGTGAGAGCATTGCCTTCTTCAATAACAAGTTGAGTTACTTGTATTACCATAACAATGACTTCTATTGCTCTATATTTTCTCATGAAGCTAAAATTAAACTCATAATTGGTTATTTTGTTTTATGTTTCCAGTGCATAGCATCTGACATTGATCATCTCCATTTGGAAATTAGCAAAGTGCAAATTGAAGCCAAGCATAATATCAATGACTGGCTGTGGCATATGGGTAGTGTAGTATTGCGTCGGTGTTATGTTGTGTTAGTATTTATCACCGATCCTGCTACGGGAAAATGGGCAGAAATGAGAGTATAAGGAACAAAAATGGATAAAGAAAATAAATCGTTGATTTACACACAAATACAGATTTAAATTTTTACTATAGGTTTGTTGATTCACAAAGAATACTAGTCTTAAAAATTTCAATAACTCTGTTAATTCATAAGAATACCAAAAAAATTAGGAATTTCTTGAATAATCCAAAAACTGCTTTGGGCAAGGCCTACAAGATTTTTACATAGTTGTAGAAACCCTAAAGCAACTAGGAAACTAGAATCTTAAATAAATTAGGAAACCAAATAAAATAAAATTATAATTAAACCAAAAAATAAATTAAATTAGGAAATACAGTAAAATCTCCTAAATTTTCCTAATTGAATGGAATTGATTATATTCAAATAAAATACTAAAATTCTTGTCATTTATTCTGCATCATTAGTTTATTCTACATTAGGTCTCCAACTCATCAATTTATAGTTAAATTCATACTAAATATCTATTGTGTATAGACAGGTTTATGTCATGTATAACAGGATTGATTTTGACTCGTGTATTAACAAGTCTAAGTTGTTATCTAATTTATGACCCAAACCATTAAGACTATATCCATACGTGATAACTTTGTATATATCACTTCGTATCAGATACACGGGTCTGTGTTAAAAATTGTCAATCAACTAATTTTGTCTTGTTAGGAAAATAAAATGGGGAAGTTTATCCTTGTAAGTTTTCATCAGATTGGAAACATTTTAGGACTCTATCCTACATGAGTTTCCATCACCAAAAAAAGATAAGAATTGAACGTTTTTCATTCGTTGTCTCCCTCCAAAATGCAGTGCCATGACCTAATAGATATTGGCACAAGCCAATTTGTCTGATCCAGCTTTTCCAAGAGTTAGAAGGTGAAAATGAGTGGGTCCCAACTGTAAAAAAAAAAAAAAAAAATCAACCCACTCAAGTCTATTACGTCCTAAACCAAAAAAAGTCTATCTTAATCTGAAAATTTCATTGAATATTGTATGATTCCTGTCAATTTTCATGGACAAAGACATTACCCTCAAAACTTTTATTCTTATATTTTTTATACAAAACTGCTTTCTTGTCCATAAGGATTTGATAAAAGAAAATAAAAAACAATGACATTTTTTTTTTTTTCAATTCAATGGTCAAGAATGTCCAAATTATCTTATGGGCACATCATTTGAACTCTTCCCCAGTCCGGTCAAAGAAAAGTTATCCACGCCGCCGAGACTAGAGAATTCATGAGGAATAAATCCCTCATGAATCCTGACGTGACTCCAAAGAGTTGTCAAGATTTAAACTCAAAACGCCTGAATTTATAGCTCGTTCATATAGCCACTTCATATACCCTTGGGTTAGAACAATGACATTTAAAAACATACATTAGATAAGGTCATGAACTGGTACATGTATAATTTTCCTTATCCATTGATGAATGATAATATTTGACCACAATCTAACGTCTTTTGTGTATCTTCCTGTCAGCTAACAACTTGCAAAAGAGCAAAAAGAATCTGCCTATACAAAAGTTAAAATTAAGAGATTCTAATAAAATAAATCATCAGCATCACCTGATTATGAAGAATTTGCTGCCCAAAACCTGTCTTTCATCCAAAAACCGCAAAAATTCTCAAGTATAGTTCCTCTTTAATAATTAAGCGCAGGCTCATTGCTGGACTGATCAATGCAGGTCACTTCTTTGCACGAGTCGTGACTGTTTATCACCAAGTAGAACAAGGAGACTTCTGTCCTATACAAGGTTAAGCAGAGCTGTACAATGGAAGTTCTTGGTTGGTGGGGAAAACCAGACAGGCTCGGGCCAGGTATGATGAAAGCAGCCAACTCTCTGTTTTGTATCTACTAAAATAAAGCCAAGTATGGTGAAACCAGCAGGTTGAAATCATTGTATTAGTTTCAGGCACTTGCAAAGGTTCTAATATGTTTGGCATCCTTTAAAATTTCTGTCGTAGTAACAAGCTATCTCCACCAATCACACTGGAGCAGGAGCAGATTGCGTTGAATTTGAATTTTGTATGCGATTGTACTCCCCTTTTAGGAAGAGTGCATACAGAAGCTCATTCCATGTATCAGGAACACCAGGCAGGCACCAGTGACTGCAGTCTTGTCGGTGGAGAGGAGCAATTCCGTTGTTTGGCCCAAAATAATATATAGACAAGTGGCCATCTTTCCTCAGTGCTGTCAAACTGGTCACATTTAATACATCCATTTGCGTTACATTTGACTTCTGTAAATGTTCTGATACCACGTCGGAAACAGCTTTTAGTTGACCAAATGTTTCAGACGAAACTGGTAATGAACCCAGGTCCGGCATTGTCTCCAGGTGACACCTACCACCAGTCTTCCAGTCCCCAGCGCTGTTAAAGTTGGTGATTATAATGATTAGCACACTAATTATCTCCATGAGTTTTTCAATAGCTCTAGACACAGGTTCAACAATCTACAAGAATCAAAATACTTGGGCTGACGAGTTACTCATGATTTTTAGTGATTATTACCCTGATAATGCTTCTCATATCTATGTTTTTGTGTTACCATTGCCTCCACAGATTGTTTTCACAGGAAGCACACATTGAATGTCGATAGGACTTGAGATATATTGATAAAGCCAGGCTCTTTCACTTTAAGGTACTATCACCCGAAGGAAAAATATAGAAGCAACAAATGGAATTACGTGCTTGCAGCTATTGTTACTAACCTCAGCCAAGAAACAAAACCTGAAAGGTAGACAACCGGCTATCCACAATAAAATATTTGCAAAATCCGAACATTCTCCTAATGGGAAGTGCGATATTAAATTCACAAGGGTTGTAAGGGGTTGAAGAGAGTTTTTTGCGAGCCAAAGGTAATTATATGATTATATCATAAAGGCTTCAGCTTTATAACTGGCGACTCCTCCCCTTCAAAAGAGTACCAAATTCTTTGCTGAATGCAACAGCATAGACCTAATGATGCTGCCTGCCAGCTATTGGTAACTTTTTTACTCTGGCCCCTGCCATCCAGTTTCCCCAAACCTCAATAGTCCACCTCAACAATATATGCTCAATAAAAATAAAAATTCATGCTACATAATTCACCTCAACAAAGCAAAGGGAAGGTCAATAACCCAATTGGCATTGGGTAGTAAACTGAAAAACAATCCACGAAAACTCGTCATATTTTTTGCATCCCAAAAGACCAACACTCTTATGGTTTAGGAATTAGGAATGCATACTCTCTTTCTTATTTCAGAATAAACTAAGGAATTCATTTTCCTTTTCAAACATTTTGAGTTCAAGCATTACAACTTATGGGAAGTTTCAAAATAACTATCAACTAAATTGATCGAAAAGGGAGAAGAAATGATTTGTGGAATTTCAAACTGTCGATGATAACTACCTTGATAGATGGGAAGGAGGCAGTTTTTTAAGACAGAGAAAGAAAGTGTTGATAAATACAAGCAATTACAGAGGAGAGAAATTAGCAGAAGTCAGTTCCATTCAACATAAGACCAAAATGACAAACCAACTATGTTTTTATGCTTTTTCCCAAATAAATCTCTTCCACAATTAAGTATACAGGTTACAATTCTTGCTAGTTTGTTAGTAACATCATTCAACCTCTGCACACACATTGTTTGTGCCCCATACTCTAGTTTCAAAAAGACACATATTACAAGTAGAGTATATGATGGCAGAGAAGAAAGTAAGCATAATATTGCTAATCATCCAATTGCTGAAAGCCTGATAGTCTTAAAAGGTTCTGAAAAGCTTGAAACCCATAGACAGTGAAAGAGAACTATCAGCAAAGAAAAACTGCCCCTACATAACATAAATGTGCTTTTCAATTGTTAAATTATGTTTAAAATTTTCTTTTAAGTACCGAACATGAATTTTGGTGAAAAAGTCCAACAGTATTTGCCCATAAATTGTGGTGTCACACAATCTGAGTATATCTCCGGAGTAATCGTACACTGGGTGCTCTTTTTACACAATTGGAGCAAAAACTGAAATATTAAATTAGTAGATGAACTGTTAAGTGAGACCACCTGTAACTGGACCGAGGATATCCAAGATAGAAAGTTATGAGACAAACCTGAAGTGTACAGGAGCATAGCTTCGGAAGAAGACCCGAGTCTTGTTCATATCTACTTCACGACCTACCCAATCCACCAGTGTCTGAATTGACCTCCGATACGCACTTTCTACACTCATCTCCATCTTCACCTCTTCCCCTTCTTGGAAGTAACAACCCCTGACAAGCATATGGATCCAGAGGTTAGATGAAACATAGTTTGTATAAAGATGATCCAAAGGTAACTTCCCAAGCAACATCAAGATATAGAGTTTCAAGAGATACACACAATCAACAGTGCATCCAATATCCATAAATCACACATTTGTTTAAATTCTCCACATCCCACTAGCTTGAGCAATAAAATTACTACAAACAATGGAAGTGCGAAGCAGAGAGAAGCTATCATAAAAGTAAGCATCAGGGTCCCTTTTCTCCTCTGGGGATATAAAAAGACATTCGATACAGAAACTTTAGTCTAATATGTTAGTTCTGAATGTAAGGGCGCATTAACTTGCAGGAGAGCTGAAAGTTTACTTATGGCAAAAAATCTTCACTGAACTATCAATTTTTGGGAAGGCAAAACGCAAAAACAAAATCCTAATAAAAGTGGTTCCTTCTCGAGTTAAATCATCACACCTATATGTCCCAGAAGTAATTACTACCACCCAATCTCTAACTATGGAATCCCTCAATACATCCTTCAAATTCTTTGCCAAAAAACCTGTAGAGAAGTCAAGAAAAGGATTCTCTCTCAAAGTCCATCTTGTTATTAATTTCTGTTCTCAAAGATATTAAATGTCCCCTTGATTTAAAGGACCCAATGAGGGCCATAAAATTCCCCCTCACTCTATTTGACAAGCAAACATGTGTTGACCTAGTGGTGTAGGCTTACTAAGAAGCGGGCACCAAGATTAGAATCCCCTCATTCATAGGGTGAACCTTGATTTGAGGTCCCAAGTATGTTACAATAGATATTTTGGTTATAATACAATTAAAACTATCAGATATCTATTCTTTACTTTCCCATCATTTGTAAAGAAACACCATATCATTCACAAACCAAGAAGAAAATAAAAAGCCTAGCAGAAAATCTGATTTTATAGGAGCATTATCTTAATGGATCAAAATTTCACTTCGAAACGTTTCCGTTTCCAAGGAGACCGAAACAAATCAGTGATGGAATCGAAATTTTAAATACTTTGAGGTATTTCATAGTGTTTTAAAGTGTTTTGTAATGTGTCAATGCATTTGCACAAATGTTTCAAGGTATTTAAAGATATTTTGGTATATTTCGATAAATATTTTGGAAAAATAATTATTAAATTTTTTATTTTTTCTTTATGTTTTCAAAACAAATCGAAACGTTTTCAAAACACATCGAAATGTTTCTATTTTCTAGGCAACCGAAACAATGCACCGAAACGAAATTTTGATCATTGTCTGTGATTAATCAACAACATATCAAAGGCTGACAACTCCTAACTTAATGCATTACAGTTCTAGTATCTCACCACCAATGTTAATGATGTTTACCATTCGCTCACCCTGTCCTTAATGGAACTACAACACATGCAAAGCACTCCTTTTCTTTTCCATGTAGACACCAAAGTTAACTTGGAATTCCCCTTAGAATATCTTAGTTGATTCAGAACACTTTGATTGAGTACATTAGCATATGTTTTTCTTCCCCCTTATCTCACCACTCTTAAACTTCCTACATCAAAGTTACAGATCTATCTCCAAATTACATAATCTTATCATTCATATGAAGTGAGAATTATCAGATGGGGCATGCACCTCAACTTTAGATGAAGAAGCCTTTCATAAGATAATAACTTCAATATTTTATATTTCAAGGCACGTAACAGGAATCAATGTCATCCCACCAGGCATTGTGCCCATGGTTGTGAGGTTAATCAGAAGTCTCTACCAGTGTAGTATACTCCAAAACAGGTAATTCGACAATATCCTGATTTATGGGGAAACTGAATCTAAAAGAAAGAAAAGTTAAAAATATCTTAACCCACAGGAAGAGACTTCAGAAAAATTATGCTTACACTCTAATGGTCTTCTCATAATTCCACCAATGTCCACTGTTGAAAACCAGCACATCTGCACCTTTCCACTGTGGGGAGCTCCAATCCAGTTGATCCACTCGTAACGTAGTCTTCACCTTCTCCGGAACTCCAGCAGGCGCCCGGCCCTGAGGCACTAGAAATGGAGCTCTGAAGTATTCAATGGTGCAGTTGTAATCCTTGAACCTGAAAATTAGGAACCCTGAATGCTTTGTGATTGGGTTCCCATTCACCTCATATATTTTAGTCTTATTACGAACAGCAGAAGAAAGCATGCAGAGGAGAGACTCCCATTGGTTTCTTCCAATTGAGTCTCCAACAAATACCAGCCTGCGGTTACGCAGTTTTTCCAACATATTCTTTGCATCAAACCTGTTTCATGAAGAGAAAACATCCCATGTAAGAAATTTCATATTCTTCATACTTAATCCCACAAAAGTTACAAATTTGTCTCCCAGGTTGAATCACAAATAGATTCAAAAATACAGGGAAACCTTTAATTATTTGTAATTGGGGGAAAACTAGCCATTGAAAATAAGAAACCCTCTTCCGGGATGCATGGAACATGATGGAAGAACAAAGAACAAAGTCAAACTAAATTATTATTTATTTATTTTTTTGACAACTTCACAACCTACCAAAACATTTTCTCAATCATTTAGTAGTCAACCAAAACATTGACAGCTATATAACGGAAAGTTGATCCAGAAAAGGCAAGTGATTTGGGATTTTAGAAGGATTGTTGAACTTGAATTGCATCAACAGATAAAACCATTTTGATACAAAACTTTTTCAGCCAGAGTTTAATGAAATATTAGTATTCAACATGTGTGTATGTACAATATACTCAGCATTGACCGTGGCTTCTTGTTGAGTAGCGCGAGTGAGGCACCTAAAGACATGAGCTTGACTTAGAAACAATACACAGACAGAGAAAGACGACAATCAAATACAAAGAAGTAGAAGAAACACGCAATTACCCAGAAAGAAGGCTCAATCCAACAGATTACCAAACTTTTCAGCAGCAACAAAAGACACATAATTTGCTAATAGAAACTTCTATTAACCAAAAACAGAATCTAAGACATATTAAGGAAAAAGAATCCCAATGTTCTCCTTAGTATAAACTACAACAAACAACAATATTGAAGATTAGGAATAGGAAGAAAAAAAGCCTATACTACATTATTTCCTACTAAATTAAAGTCCAAAACATTGTTACTGGACAGAGAGTTTAAAATAAACCTGGGCAAGTTGCAATATTTAGGTTGCCAGCGCCATTTAGTGTAGAAACTGTCAGGCCTACCATTTTCCAAACACCGAAAACCACCATCTGCAAACAAGCAATCTTGGGAATTATACAGTGGATAGCTCTCATCCCAGACCCAATCACCATCAAAAACATCACACCGACCACCACTTTCTTCAAGAAACCCCACCCTCACATTCCCACCTGAAGATGAACCATTAAAACCAAACCACTTTACCAACCCAAGCTGCCCCCCAGAGGGAAACCTTCGGGTCACAGTTCTATAATCCAATAAAAAGAGACAGAATATCAAGCAAACACTGAAAAAGAAGCAACCAAGAATCCCCGGGGAGGGCTCAAGAGGCTTCAAACGCTTGAATTTCTTGAAAAAATCCAATTGGTTCATTGTCTTTAAGCTTCTTGGAGATGTACTCTCTCTCATTTTTGAATAAACGGTAATGTGCACAAAAAAAGTCCAAAAGGTTTGGTGTGAGGCGTGTTTTTAAAAAGTAGAGTCTGGAAGGGACGGCTAGAAGATGAGCAAGAGAGGAAGACTCCAAGAACTGTTAATGGGTCATGATTTGGAGTGTCTAACGGAGATGAGTACACATTCAACTTTATAGAAGGAATTGTGTGGAGGTGGGGCTTGAGAGTTGAGAGAGACACAAAGAAAGAGAGACGAGGACAAAGTTAGAAGATGAGGAGGTGGAATCTGGAACGAAGACAAAGATTCATTGCAGCAAAACCGGTGCGTACAAAAAATGAATTTTTCTTTCTTGGTTTTTGTTCGGTTCATTTATGAAGATTTTACAGATGGAAAGGGGGTGTTCTTAAGTTGCCAAGAAAGCATTCGTGTCTCTTAACAGTTACATCTTTTTAGGAAAATTACATCTAAATCCTCTAAAATTTGTCATTTAATTATTTAATTTTTTTATATTTAAAATATTACATACAGATCTTTTAAAGTTGTATACGCATAACACTTAGACCCTTATTATAAATATATTAATTAATAAATTATACTTAAACCCCTTAAATTTATAATTATATAATATTTAGACTCTTTAAATTTAAAATTATACTTAGATTAAAAATACTTCAATTAAAGATAAAATATCAAATATTTTAAATTTTACAACCAAAATTCATATTCTATTGTATTATTTGTTGAAATAAAATCAAAAATAAAAATTTAATTTTTTTTCTTAAAAAATCGTAATTAGTATACAATTATATTGCCTATTAGAATTTAATTTGATAGTTTAAACAACCAAATTAAAATACTAAACAACCCCTATTAAAGATAAAAGATATTGTATCTATTACAATTTGACTAATTGTTTAATTTTTTTTATTTTATTCTAATAGATAATATAATTATATACTAATTATGATTTTTTTTTTTAAAATAGACTTTTATTTTTGCTTTTATTTCAATACATGACATAATAGAATATGAATTTTGAATGTAAAATTCATATTCTATTATGAATGATTTAGACCTCTTATTTGATTTTTAAGTTTTATTTTAATATATTGTATAATTGTATACTAATTATGATTTTTTTTTTTAAAATAAATTTTTATTTTAATTTTATTTCAAAAAATAATATAATATAACATGAATTTTGATTATAAAATTTAAAATATTTGATATTTTATTTTTGATTAGAGTATTTTTGTCTAAATATAATATTTTAAACTTAAGAAGTCTAATTATTATATACCTATAAACTTTAGAGAGATTAAGTATAATTTATTAACAATATATTTACATAATGATCTAAGTGTTACGACATACAAATTTTAGGAGATTTGTGTGTAATATTTCAAATATCAATGAATCTGAATGATTTAGTGATAAATTTCAGGGAGGATGAATGTAATTCTCTTTTTTTTACCGTTTTTTATTTGAGAGAGAGAAGAGAGAGAGAGAGGGCTTAGTGGGGAAAAGGTTGTGCCAAAATGCTGAAAGCCGACAAAAATACCAAAGACGAGGAAAGAACAATATGTCTCGGTGCGCCTAATATGCCACCTGGCCTTGATTGAGGTATTTTAAATTGAGGTTTTTCGAGGTATTTTATTTTAAATTGAGATTTTTTGCAATTCGTATCCTACAAAATTTTAAAATTTTTGTCTTTAAAGATTAAATATTATACATTATACCTTTAATATATCAAAATTATTGTAATATAACCCTTCCATTAATTTTTTTTAATTTTTTCGTTAGTATCAATGAGTTAATTTTTATCAAAAAAAATAACAGAAACTAATAGAAGAGTCACATTATAACATTTTTTATATACTGATGATATAATATAAAAAATATAATCTTTAAAGATATAAAGCGAGAATTCTGACATCTTTTAGGGTGTAAAATGCAATTTATCCCTTAATTATGACGATTTTGAAGAAAACAATTGGTTTAGCTTATTTTTTTTTTAAATATTAAAAAATTTATTTATAAAGTACTCTTTTAATAGAAAATTTTGAAAGCTAATTTTTTGTAACTTATAATAAACATGCTTTTTATGTTAAAAGTATCGGTTAAATCAATAATTTTGCAAAAAATGATTGTACATCAAAAACAAATTGTAAAGAAATCTTGGAAATTTTTTAAGAAATGAGAGTTTGATCATTGAGGGCCACACAGGTCTATGAAGAATAATTTTTTAGGTAAGTAGTTTATGAAAAAAAAAATCGGTATTGTATCGATATTTATCATTTTTATGTGTATTTTTATTATTATTGTTCGCATTTTTATCACTGTTGCGATACCGAATAAAAATTGTAAAAATAATTAATATAACAGTGATAAAAACACTTATAAAAATGATAAAAAAAATTTATTGTAAAAATACTAATAAAAATAATAAAATTTAGAGGTACGATACTATAAAAAAAATTTGATAACGACGTCAAGTCCGTGATTTTAGGATGAATTGATTGATTATAGAAAATCAAATCAGAATAATTAACTCAACTTGAATAGTTGAATATGTCCATGATTTAGATGGAAGTTGACATGAAAAAACAATAGGGTCAAAAATTAATTAAACAAAAGAATGGAATATCAAACGTGAAAAGGACAGGCAAATAAATTAAGCCAAGACTAATAAAAGAAGGAGAATAATAATAATAATAATAATTCAAGCCAAAATAATAAGTCAATTGATCCCGTGAGTCTCGGTGTAATTTGTGTTGATCGATCAAGAAATATAATATACACTTAACTAGCAAAGAATAAAAAAATAAATATAATATACAATAACAACAATAATAATGCGTGTCTGTGCGGGCTTGATCCTGCACGATATATATAAAATATTGGGAACAGATCTCTCCCCTGGTGAACTTGGGTGAGCCGATTGAGTGGCCAAACACACCGCTCGAAACAGCTTACGATCCTGGGAAAGGAGGACCGATCATGTACGTGCGAAAGGTATTTCCTGGGACAAAAGAGAACAAGTTAGAAGGGCGCCGGAGTGTTTTCCGGCGTATCCCCTCCGACGGTCTAGTCAGTCTTTGAATGAGAGAGAGGAAGGAGAAAACACTGAGAAGGGTATTTCGTAGTAGAGAGTTTTTGATTGCATACCCGTTTGCCTTTTTGGGAGGGGTATTTATACCTTAGAAGCTCATGATTGCTGTCAGTGTGGTTAGTAGGTGATCATCAGGCACTGGCAGCGTGTGTATTGATTTGACGAGGAATGTCTTCTCTAATTGACTGCTCGGGATCCCGAGCAATCAATGTTGAGTCGTCGGGACGCCGACGGTACAATATGCTCCTTTCGGGAAGGATGTAATAAATGCTTCGTAATAGGAGCATTTATTGCCTTTCATATCCGAACCTTACCGCATTGAATGCGGTCTCGTCAACAGAAGGGTGCAATTAATTGTTTGCTTCCCAAAGCGCATGTCAGCAATAGCGTGCGGTTTGCCTGTTTTTGATGTGATATCATATGCCACGCGTCCGTCACGTATTGGCTATGACTTCTGTACTCCAGCATGTTCTGACATTACTTGTGTAAGACGAGGTCATGATGAATAGTCTAGACTGGCATAGGCTGATGTCCCGTACGTCAGTAACTTTATCCGGGAGTAGAGGAAGCGTCCAGGATGGAGTGACCCTCGGCGCCGAGGAAAGGCTCACCTCGGGGGACCAAGGGGTGGTGTGTTCCCGAGGTACATGGTGACCGAGGACACATGTCATTGTATACTGTACCGAATATGTGATCCTATATGAGAGGTACCTCGGGGGAGAGGACGCTTTTGCCGATGGTGCTTGAACCCGAGCAACATTGTTCTAGAAACCCCCGAGGACACGTGTCTTCATCATAGGCTTTTTCAGAAGAGTCCCATCAACTGCCCCCAGCCTTCGATCTTCTGACACGAGGACACGCGTTGTCAGGAGACGAAGGGTTTTCCAACTGCCATCCGTCCTTCATTATGGCCTCGAGCAGCTTTCCCCGTCTTGGGATGTCGTGCGCATTAAATGCGCCGTTTGGTTCTCCCGCCCAATGATGACAGTTTCCCCCCTATATAAAGGGGGTTCTTCTCCGGTTTCCATTGTTTTGCCATTCCGATCTCTGACCCAGAATACGCCTTTTCTGATCTGCTTCGCCGGAGTTTCTGTTTCCTCAGCCATCATCGACAGCATCTTCTCTTTAAAATCACAGTCAGTAAACCCATTGTTGACTCCTGGTCCTTCCGGTGCGAGTCGTTTTCAAAGTTTTTCCTGAAAAACTCCGTTTCCGACGTCTTCTGGTGAGTTTCACAACCTTCTTCTTTATCGTCCTCCTGGCCTTCTTGTTTTCCGATTTGAACGGTGGTGTCATCCGGTCGGTACGTCTTGATTTAAACCCTCGGGGAACTTCCTCAGGTTTTCAAGTGAGAACACCTTTTCCTTCCCTTTCTTTTAGAGATGCCTCGTCGTCGCCCTGTTCCCGAGAATCCATCGGCTGGTCCCTCGGGGTCAGGGAAATACAAGGTGACAGGCGAGGCACAGATGATAGGTTCAGGGCGAAGTATGGCATCCCCCCGAGCGTGGACGTAGTGGGTTTAACCCTTTGTTGAACTCTCCTACCTTCGGGGCCGCGGATGCCATGCCTTTCTATACCAAGGCCATCATAGAGGGTGGCATTAGGTTTCCTTTACCCCCCCTGCTTCTTCAGTTCCTGTCTCGCTTCCGTCTCTTCCCCGGGCAATGCTGCCTCAACGTCTTTCGGATAATTATGGGGGTCCTAGAGCTCAATAGGCGCCTCGGGGTGAATATTGGGCTCAATGATCTCCTTTTCTGTTACCCTCCTAAGAGTCATGCCCCACCAACATTTCTACCTCAAAGCCAGGGACCCCTCTATGTACCTTGTAACCCATCTTCCTGACTCGGACAAGGGGTACAAGGACGACATCTTGATCTTCAAGGGATGTTGGGAGAGGGGTGTCGGTCCCGAGTACAATGACCTATTTTGCCCTCGGGAATGGAGAACGACAAGTACGTCGGTTCCTTTGGGTCTTTTTATTTGTTTCTTGGGACTTCTCATGTTTATGACAATCTTTTTGTTTGTGCAGGTATTCCTTCTCGGGAAACAGCTCCACCCCCTCGGTCGCTGGTCAATTTTGCCGACTTAATAACGGTTTGGAGTTTCACGGGCGCCGACGGATTTGGCCGAGCTGCCCATAATTTGCTGCACTATACCCCCGGGTATAAGAAGTTCTCACAGCTCCCTCAACCTTTCGAGCCTTCACAGTGGTCAGAGCTCTTTGATCAGGCGGCGAGGTTAGAGGTCGAGCAGAACT